CGATGTGTCCGGATTTCATGGTGGCGGGCAAGAAGACAGAGAAAGTCTTAACTCGCGACGTCGATGGCGACAACGTGGTGACAAATTAAAATGGGTGAGAGAGGCAGGTGGTGCTATCTCGGTGCTTCGTTTAAAGTTATGTATGCCGTGGCCAGTTTTCGGTACCGTGTGCCGCAAGAAGAGGCATCGCAATTCGTATCGGTGCAAAACATACTTCCAGAAACGTTACTTCTTTTATTAATGAACCTTGCCCATGCAATAACCGCGCTTCGATCGTCCTTTGCCTTGGTAATAATTTATCAGTTGATACCGAAGAACACTGAGGAAACACATCTTGATTGTTATTATTTCACTTGATTTTGCGGCGACCATATTTTCGCGGCGATTTCGGTGATTGATGGCGTATTCCTTTCGAAAAAGATAATGGATAAAGTGTTGAACGATAGGTGGATATTATCATTGACGAATATATTTTGGTGCGAAATGAATCTAATAAAATAGAGTTAAAAATAATTATTATCGAGTTATAATAATTCGATTGAAGTTTGATTTGGTAATTATTCGTGACGATATTTAATGCGTTCGATCTGATTTAACAATGAAAAAAGAAAGGTCGATCGAAATACGTATAAAAGAACACTTTGATAAAAAATTAATTCAATTTTTATACGAGAATATTAGATTCTTTTTTATTATAAATAATCCGTTAGCGAAATTTTATAAATAATTAGTCAAGATCAACGTATTAGATCTCCTCTATGGGATAATTACAAATAACTAAAGGATGATAAAAGAAAGAATTTTACAAGAATTTAAAAATACGGATTTTAAAGGGTTAAAAAGAAACAAATGAATAAATAAGAAGATGAGGTAAGACGGGGAAAAGGAAGAGGAGAATAAAAAAATAGAAAAAAGAAAGAAGAGAAGAGAGAGAGAGAGAGAGAGAAGTAAATATGGGATCAACGGTGCGTGACTCCCTTGGGAAGGGTCAAGTAACGGAAGTAGAGGCTCTCGACCCTCGAAAACCAGTGGGTCGCGGGGATGAGCACCAAATTAACCGGCAGTTCAATCCAACTGGCATCCCCCGATATAGGCATCATCGACATGGATCATCGTTCTGCACCGTCACCATATGCCGTGCAGGTGAAGACACACGGTACGTGCCAATATCGAAAAAAAAACGTGACTAGCAAACTACACGTTGCACCCTTTTGAACGCCGCACTCTTCGAAATGGATGGAATGCGACAAATTTTGAAATTATCAGATTATTAACGATTAAGCAAAATTAAATCAATCGCTTTTAGAAACAAATTTATGAAAGGGAATCGAGCGATTTATATTAGTTAACAATTCGCTCGAAAGAATCTAAATGATAATATCTCTCTAATCATCAAAATGATAATATTGAATAAATTTAAAATTGTTAAAATTTGTTCCCTTACAAATTTTTAACGTTCTCGCGTTTATTACATTGAGGTGAAATTCATTGGATTCTTCGTTAACGACATCGTGATAAAACATAAATCGTAACGTAACACGAAAGAGGCAAGGAAATATTAACAATAAAATTAGTACTCGACATGAAAGGGACGGACTCGATTCAAGTTTAACGTTATTGTCGCGTGATGATCCCGAAATGGATTTACACGGATATCGGGGGACAACCCGATGCTCCGGCACCGTCGAAGCAAAAATTTCCCCCAGAGACGTTCGTACTCCCCTTCATTTTTGTCATTAAATGCGCATTACCACGGTGCTTGCGCCGCGATCCACTCGTCCACGCGACTTTTAATCGAATCGATCGACATCGCTCGTTACACGCGCACCTCGTTCCTTAGAACGATGTTTACCGGCCCAAGATCGTCTGTCTACTGATCGATAGAATGTTATTACCCGTGAATGTTATCGGAGCGAGTTATACGTGTCGATGAATTCGTGGAACGAATTTGATTTTAGAAACCAAAACAAACGCGAAAGTCGACAGTAAAGCCGCTCGAGGTTTTATTTATCGAATATTTCAATTTCAATTCGCGTTAAGAAAGTTGAAGGGAAATGATGAGAGGTTAATTTTTTAAAATTTTTATAAAAAATTTTTTTTTTATAGAAAAATTATTTTTATTAAAAAAGTTTGTCAAGATAATTTCAAATGGAAAATCAAATATATATCAAGATAATTAAAAGCCGCATTTTTCTTTCTTTATCTAAAGTAATTGAGGTTTTTTTTTTTTTTCTTTTTATAATAATGACGCAACTATATCAGGTACAGGTGCTCGGGTATTATGGAGACACCGTACGTCAATGTCACTTTCGACCAATGCCTTTATAACTTTCAACAATATCCGACTTATATGCACTGAATTTGCGATAAATATTTATTAACCCAGAATCCCACTACGTATTGCAAAAAAAAAAGTGGATAAAAATATATAAAGTACACATAAATTAGCTATAAATAAGAAAATGTTTTATTGATGACAATATATGTGATCATAAAAAAATATCGTTAATTAATTTAAAAATTTCTTTTCTCCTTTTTTTATGTAAAACATAAATTTCCCCATTCATATTTAGAATTAATGTTAATTATGACGACATACGTAAATTTAGAAGAAAAAAAAAAAATAGATCGCTTTCGCACAATTATAAACTAATATTATTATTTAAAAATCACAAATATTAAAAGATTATTTTGCGTAACAATAATTTTTAATAATAAAACAAACAAAGCTCTAAAACAGTAAAATTATATTAAAAAGAAATCCTACAAATTTGCAATCTATCAATTATTATAAAAGAGAATGAACCATCTGCTCGCAAAATTATTCTAGCACAATTTTTCCATTTAAAGTTTAATAGAAAAAAATTAGTTTAATCAAAAAAAAAAAAAAATAAGAATACTCCCGTTATGAAACATTCGTATGAATCTATAAGATTCAAATGGGTGAGGAGTTCGCGAAAATTCAAGGAAAGATGGCGATATCGATTGGCAGAGGAGGGGTACGGGCGACAAACGAACTTTTTTTCTTTCGATTCTCTTTAAAAGTCGCGCGTGTGGGACCGCAAAACGGAAAAGTATACACGAAAGGAGACGAATGGTACAGGTGGCAATGGAAAACGGTCAGCTGCACGTTCCAAGACGCCGAGAACTGGCTCTTGTACAGGTATAAATCGGGTGTAGGCACAGTTGCGCGGGAATTGGACATGCTACCCGCATATCCTCCACTCGCCATGCAATCCCTGCTTCTATATGTGTCTATATACATATATATATATATATATATATATACACACGTAATTTTGTCGTTAACTTCGACCGCAATTCTCTATCGTTTATTTATGCCTTCGATGATTAATGTTTCGATTGGCATTTATCTCTCGAAAACTTGGAAAAAAAATTTTCCAAGTTTCGAAAATTTTTACTCATAAACCCTCTCTAACCTTGCTACTTGATGCAATTACAAAATTACCATTATATAAATTTTTATCATCTAATCAATCGTATTAAATAAATAAAAAAAATTCCGTGTTTACGCGAATTAATGAAAAAGAGTAATTATCCAAAGAGATTTACAAATAGTTACTTTACATATATTCAATTAATCAAAAATAATTAACAAAAAGTTATATGTAAATAATGGGAATAAATATTACTCGGTAATAAGTTAATCGATTCATAAAAATGTAAATCGTTTCCATTAACTCAAGATCCATCGTCTTGTGTTTAATTGTATTCTGAAGAGAAAGATTAATAGAAGGAGGCAGATAATCCGAAAAAGGAAAGATAAAACAGGTGCAACGTACAATCCGGCAGCTAGACTCGTTTTATCTTCACTGATTTATCGGCAACGAAAAAAATTGTACCTTATACTTCACCTGTTGCCCCGACAACTTATTCATTCCACTGAGTCAAAAACCTTTGATTGATAATATTGATGTGCAACATAAAGGAATATGAATTTTTAATTCGACATCTTAATATTATAATTATATATTTTTACACGTACACGTTTTTTAAAGGATACGAATTTGAATGATTCGAATTCAAATGATTTGAGTTGGATGATATAACGTGTATATTATATTATATTATAGCGAATTTGAAGCAAATTATATAAAGAATTTGAAATTTTATAATTTACAAAAACATGTTTGTATTGTACCCTCTTATTTTTCTAAATATTTAACACGAATATTCTATCAATTAATAAAATATGATGAGAGTAATGACTTTATTTTTTCGATTTTGTCATTTATATGAAAATATTTATTATTTTTCATTTTTATCTTTGTTAATATTGGAATATTTATAGATATTTATGAATTTCTGTAAAATACTCGTAGTAAAAAATTAATTTTTAAATTAATCTTTATTACGAACGTGAATTATGGAAACTGGAACATTAATCAATGAAAAAAAATTTATCATATAATCTATTTCTAATCCAATTAATGAAATAATCTCAAGTGCATCTACATTTATTTTATCTCACGTAACATCAAATTACTTACAAAAAACAATTTCTATTGTATAAAAATAATCTCTTAATAACTTTATGAATGACACATTTAAATAAATTATTTAAAAAATTGAAACTATAACTTTATTATATATAAGTTTTACATGCATTATAAATCGTTCCGTTTATTTTCGCTTTATTATCGATATGTTAATAATATTATCGATAAGTTATCGATATCTTATCGCTAATCATTAATAGCATCACCGTCACAGTTTAATCGTAAAATTTGGTGTCAGTAGTATCATTCTTCAGTAACAGAGCAGGAATAAAATAAAATATAGATTGTTATAAGATTTAAAAAATCTAAAATTCTAGAAAATTCAAGAGATATTTTTTTCATATATAATAAAAATAAAATTTAGAGCAAAAAACATTGATATTAAAAAAATATAAAAAACATAAAAATTATTTTATACAACACGAATAAAAATTATATATATACTTTATAAAATTTATAAGAAAAGAATATTTAATTTTTTCCAGTGTTGAAATAATTTTAAGAATTATTTTTCTTACCAATAATTAAACATGCCTAAAATTCGTGTGAAAAGAAGCGCCATATGGCAACATTTTTCCATAAACTACCAAGAGGATGGATCACAAGCGATTGTCAAGTGCAACAAGTGCAATCTCACTGTGCCTTATTGTAAAAACACAACGAATTTATGGTCACACATCCGTATACGTCACAAAAATGTTGTAGAAAATTTGGAGCTTACCTTACTCGGCCAACCGAGTAAAAAGAGAAACCAAAATCACGCGTCCACCTCGTCGAAATCCAGGCAGAGGTCGTCGAGAATTTGTGATCTATCGGAAAAATTTTTTGGCTTGAGACGAGATAGAGAAATAACACGATCTTTGATACAAATCGTAGCCGAGAACGTAATCCCGTTCTCCACGGTGCATGGAAGAGGATTCACGAATTTCATAAGGACGTTGAACGACAAATACAAGGTTCCAGATAGGGATACCTTGATCTCGGAATATCTTCCAGAATTATACGAGCGGAAACGCGTAGAAATTAATGAAATTTTATCGAAAGCGACGAATATTCACCTTGCCGTAACTTTGTGCACCGATTACAAACGCAGAATACCGTTTATGATAACAATCGCCCATTTTTTCGCCAATGATGTCCAGCATCATAAAGTTTTGCACATCTCGTGTCTGAAACAAACGAATGTAACGATGATACGTGAGAACTTGTTAAAAGTTGCTGATACTTGGAACATCGCTTCGAAAATAAGAACTGTGGTTTACAATGGTAAAAGTGACATTGTGAACGAAACGAGAGAATGGCGACAGATATATTGTTTCGGTCGCACGTTGAACTTGGTCGCACGAAATGCTGTAAGAGATACCAGAATTATAAACGAGGTGGTGAATAAATGTCGAAATATTGTTCGTTTCTTTAGATTCGATAACTCTGCTGCGAAATTATTATCGAGGAAGGATCAACTTGGAGAAAATTCATCGAGAATTTCGAATTTGTTCAAAGACACGCCTGATCGTTGGACCACCATTTATTTATTGTTGAACGATATAAACGAATTAAGACCTGTTCTGTCAAAAGTTTTGTCACGAAAGAACGCGCCATCCCTGACAGAGTACGAATGGAAGACAATTTCCGAGGTGTTAAGGGTTTTGAAGCCATTGCACGAGGCTACGAGAGAATTATTGGTCGATTGTACCGTGACAATCTCAAAAATAATACCCATCGTTCATGGTGTGGAGGCTGCTTTGAAAAATATGGATAATTTGTCGCTAGATGTGACTTTGTTCCGTGACAATTTATTAACACTTTTCGGTGAACGGTTTGAGAATATCGAAAGAAATCCCGTTTACGCCATCGCCACATTTTTGGATCCCAGATACAAGGATATCGCGTTTCAATCGAAAGAGTGTGTTAAATTGGCGAAACATCTGTTGATGAAGGAGTTAAATTATTGTTTCGATAATGAAAATGATAATTCTGATTTACATATGGATAAAGTGGAAATAAAGGACGAGAATAAAGAAACGAATATTTTGTGGGCGGTATTCGACAAAAGGGTTCAGGAGTTGCAGATTGAATCTGATAATTGTGTGATTTACTGTTCATTGAAGCATGAATTGGAAAGGTACCCTAATTTTCCAATTATTAAAAACATGTAAAGATTTTTGGCCAATTTAATTTTGAGTTTTAGAAATATATATATATATCATTTCATTATGATTGGGTATTATGGTTGGATTACTTTATCTGTAGCTCGATAGTTCTAATTGAAGAAAAATAAAAAATTTTCTATCGGTTATTAAGAATAAAATATCAAATATCTAATAAGAGTTACAATTATAATTTTTGTTGTTTTTATAGATACGCAAATGTGAAAATAATTAATAGAAAAACCGATCCAATCACATGGTGGAATAACATGGGCCATTCAACGTTTCCAAAACTTTCGAAACTTGCATTAGAATATTTATGCATACCTTCATTCTCTGCACCTAAAAATCTCTTGTTTTCAAAAATTCGTAAAATTTTGTTTAATCGAGAAATGGAATTACCAACGAAATATATTAACATGTTGGCTATAATAAGCTTAAATTAAAAAAAAAAAAGTATATAATGTTATAAATATGTTTTATTTCTTTATTTCAACTTCTTTACTTCTGTTTCCATTATCGATATCTCAATTGTATTATCGAAACATAAACGATAAGATTATATATTTCGATAAGTTATCGATATTGAAGTCATTTTTAATCACAGATATCTATCATGAAATGATCAATGACATCTTGAATAACATTTAATTATTATATTTATTTTTTTATTTTTTCTTTATCGTTTGTTTGTCATTGCATTACTATTCAATCGAAAGAATTTGGAATTTAATTAATGTATTCCACAAAATTCAATACTTGAAAAAAAGGCAGATTAAAATATTATTAGAGTAGAAAATTTTTTCACGTTAAATCTGATAAAATAATTGCAATTACTATTGATATTTATAATATAAATTATGAATTAATAACAAAATTAATTAAAAATTCAATCTAATTACTAGAAAAATGATGACAAATTTTTTTTGATTGTAATGTAACAGTATCTAAATTACTTACGATTAATAATTTATTATTCATTAAAATATATGTGAATTTATTCACATTAACAAAGCAATATGCTAATTATTTCATATTTTTGTTACTAAAGCATTTACAAGTTTGTGATATCAAAAAAGAATAAAGTTATTTTCAATCAGTTTTTAGTTCAAAGTTGTCCATATATTTTTATATTTTTAAAGACATATGTATATTATCATTGCATCTTCTTGTTTAATGAATATTAAACAAATTTAATGATACGATCTTGAAATGAATCTTTGACTTTTTAAAATTATTTAAATTAAAGTTAACGTGTAAATAAACGTATTTATTATCAAATTACAAGTGTTTAATATAAATTTACATATCGTCATAAATATTTAACATTTATTATTATTATTATTTAAATGCATTATCAATAATTATTTACCTATACAGACTCGAATTTTCTTTATCCATGATAAATCAAGATTCCAAATTTTGTATATTTTTTCGAGTTTCAAACAAGAAATTTCAATTAATTCGATGAAAATTAATGATCAACAAGTACATGTTTGATTCTATGGATCTCTATGGATATCTGACATCGTTAAAAGTTCGAAAAATATTAATAATCTTGTTTAAACATAAATATGCAATTTGTACAACACATTTTATACGTGTTATAAAAGAAAAAAGTTTCGTTCGTGTTTTAATGGACTATCGTGTATATATTGACATGTCCTGTGTCGTCATTTTCTTTCGTTGATAATTAACACGATAGCTTATATAAATAATTTATATTTGTAAAATTCGTAATATATCGCTGTTCAACTCTATCGTAACGTGGCCATAATTCGGATAACACGAAAAACTTATTGCTTTCGAAAATAATGTTTACATTCTTGTCGATACCGAAAGTTAATACAGCCTTGTACTTCCAATCAAGTTTCTATATATGGCTATTTAAAAGACATTTTTGTTACGTTGTATATTAGACTTCCTTTCTTATTTCTACTTTGTTTTTCAATCGTAAAATAATCGAAAAAATTATTATAAAATTTGTATGTAAAATTATTTTCAAATCGACCAAAAACTTTACACAATAGCTGCCTTATACAAGGTATCTTGTTTATTAGGAATACAGAGAGATACAGAGAGTGATTTCTTTTCTTTTTTTATTTCTAAATTGATTTATAAATATAGATAGAATTTTTTTTCCTTTCATAGTAAATGTAATCTTGATAAGAATAAGATTCAACAATAAGTTTTACAGAATTAATAGATTTTTGACATGACACGAGATCCGTAAGAATAATTAGGCTTATTATTCTTTTCTAATTTATTATTATCCGTATTATTTTATAATAATATTCATTGTTAAATGAAAAATCGATTTCAGAAGAATTAATCTTTTAGATTCTTTTAGATTTTAGATTCTTTACACACTAGCGCCATGTGTCGTTTACTTTCACAATTGTAAGTGCCAATTTAATACTACATATATATATACATACAATAATTCGCGTGTAATAAAATTTTTACAACAAAATTTTTTATTATTTCTTATTTCAAAATTTCACTGTTCTTTGAGGGAGGCTAGAAATATTTTTAAAATTTCAATTTTGTTGATCATTTAAGAATCGTTATTAAGAAAAAAGTGTAATAAATAATTTTTTTACCTTAAAATGATTTTTAGAAATTTTTTAAATGTCTTTTTCCCCAATTTTGCTAATCATGTAAGGGATTAAGAAACGTTATTCAGAAAATGGAACAGTATAATCGAGATTACAAGCATCTACATAAAGAAACGGATATTTTGTACCTGTTGCACTCGGGCCAGCTCCGTTTAAACACAGGTATTTCGCGGGCGTAATTAATAACACGTCTCCTAACTCGAAAACGAGCATCGTGTGTTTCCAACTCCGCGTATTTCGAGTATCTTTCATTATGCAAAATATTACATGCACTCGAAGTAAGAAAAAAGTTTTCAACGCCCACTGTCGAAACGATATTTCAGATTTGTTCGTTAAAATTAATTCCATTTTTTACAAAATTCCACCTTCACTTTATCAATAATATCGTTACTTGCGATTTTTATTTAAAATCGTTTAATCACGTTTCCATCCAATTTTTCATTAATGTCTTTATGAAACGTGGTTAAATTTATTTCTATTTAAATTAGGCATTATTTAAAGTAAAACATCGAAATAATGTATCGTACATTTAAATGTTATTTTTAAAATTAATCATTCTCGCTTCAAATAATAATAACAATAACAGATTGAAACACATTCATTCATTATTAAAACGCTTATACGCTTACGTCTGTTGTCAAGCACACGTAAGCCTAGAAAAATTCAACCAAAAACGTCAACCGTGCGTTTTATCGGTCATTAATCATATTTCTTCTCGGCCACTCGTAATGGACAATCGTTAAAAAAAAAAAAAAAGTAATTATTCAAAAGGAAAAGAAGAAAAAAAAAAGGTATCATTACTCAAACTCGGCGATACGACTTAACGCTCAACAGAAATACCAATCGCTTAACAATAATGAAGTCAACAAAAAACACAAGGTCTCATACTTGCTCATACGAGATTAATGCTGCGTCCACGCGGCGGAAGTGCAAGTTTCTTTGATACACGGCAAATCCCATTCGATCATGGTCAAAAAAGTATCCGTTATCGATACGATCGTTGATCGTATTCGTACGCACACGATACAAGAGATATCCAAGCCAGGCCAGAAATTGGCGACAACGCCGATGTGTCTTTTAAATTGGGCCAAAATAATATGGACGTAATGTGTGATAATAAATAATTCGCACCCTTTACTCGGTCCGGTTTTAATGCACGTTCGTCCTCTTATGTATGTATTATGTACAAGGTGTCCCGAAAAACAATCATTTATTATCGGTTACACGACGTTCCAACGCTTTAACGTTGGTTAAAACTTGTTAAAAATTTTTAAAAAACAATCTATTCAATAAAATTTGATCGTCGAGAGTGAGAATTTCTTTTTTCTTTTTCTCTTTAGGAAGAATCTGGAAGAATTGGACGGGAGAACAATTTTCTTCGAATATGCAATACGTTAAACACTAACTGAACGCAACTGCATCTTCCACGTAATATATTCTAACACCCGCATATCCACCCTTCCTTTATTTTTCATCTTCTTTTTCCTCGATTCAAGCAAGTTCACACGAAATTTTAAAATCTTAAATATCTTTAGGAATTTACGAAATTGCGTACGGATAGATATTAATTATCATATTAATCGTGTGATTCCAGAGAATTCTAAAAGAATCTAACTTGAGCGCAGATCAGGAAAAAAATGGCTGAGAGAATTTTCCTCTTACGATAACAAATAATTCCAAGATTGAAATGTTTCAGATGATCACCATGCACGTGTACGTTTCCAGTTCCTGTTCCTTCTTACGTTCAACGACAACAAGCGAAAAGAACAGGAATTCGTTGTTTCCGGAACGGGGTGAAAGGTAGCAAGAACCGAGGCAGTGCACAATGATTCCCGCGTGACATTTATCTTTATGCATGCTCATTTGCGCCCGCTTATGGTCGCGAGCACGTGCTACCCGGATCGATCGTGTTGCCAACATTACTTATATATTGTATAAAGTCTACACCAAAGACTTATACGAACGTGAACGAACAAATGTGAACATCACCAGTAAGTATCTCGACGAATGGGATTCGATGATTGTCATCGAAGGAAAAATTCCCAATTTTTTGAGGGGTCAAATGAAATTTTCCTCGTATTTCAAATCTTTAAAAATTGCTAATTTCACAATTAGTAATATTAATTATGTAACGTAGTGTTAATATATCCTAGGGAACCCTAGAAAAGTGCCATCTAGTTCCCATTTCATTCTTAAATGATTTTTCATTAATATTGGGGAACATCCTGTACACCTTATCGATATATCCACACTTTTGGACATCTTGAAAAGCTTAAAGTCAATAATAATAATAATAATAATAATAACGAACTAAATGAGATATTAAAATAACAAAATATTCATATACGAGAAATTCATATACAATATTTCTCGTTTATAAATTTATATTTATTATTCGAGAGTATGTTTGCACGAAAAAAAAAAAGAGAGAGAGAGAGAGAGAAAGAAAAATAATCGCACGGTACTTACGCAGATAATGTATTAACGCCGCGGCATTAAAATCCGTGTTTCGGGCGAAGAGTAAACGGAAGAAAAAAGAAGGGGGAAAAAACGGAGGAAAAAGAAAGGAATATAAGGACAATTATTCCGGGTCGGGTTCCGAAAGGCCGCAACTCGGTTCGAGTTTCTGTAATCGAAGTTAAACGCGCCTCGAGGCAGTGCGTTTAAGACGAAAAAACCGCGGTAACACAGGCGATACCTCTTAAACCACTTTAATGACGCTTCGACGCATCGCGAATTTAAAATTACACTGACGACTTACTCGGGCCCGCGCCCGATAAAGATCGTTTTGCCGATACAAAAACCGGCCTGACTCGGTCGCGTCCACTGA